GTAATTCCCCATATTCTAGCACATATGTGACAGGGAGGAATGTTCACGAGAGAAAACGCCTCTGCGCCTTTACTTCTAACCCCTCACTTTCGGGAAACTGTAATGAGCAACAACAATTACACAAATACGCCAACTTAAAAAACGCACCTCATGACCCAAACGCGTTCTAGACGTTTAAAACACATTGATTATCGTCTATGTTACGATATTTCAGTATGTCCGTTGTCCTGAATAAGAATCAAATAAAAACCTTCAACTTGATAATAGATGTGCTCATACTGTGCGTTTACACAGGGGGGGGGGGGGTGCCGATCATTCACACCATGGAAGGGCATTATATGAACAAAGGTCAGAACATAAAATATACCAAGGTCAAGTCCTGAAAACATGTTCGTGATCAAGTACTTACTTGCGATACATTGCAATATTGTGCCCTCATCAAACTTTTAATCAAACTTTATAAAGAATTTGTGAGCAATTGTTATTAGAAGGCCAAGAAGAAAACATACTAGTATTTGGAGGTAGAATTCTCGTCTGTATTATTTTGTCGACGTTCCTAATTTTTAAAAACAATTTAGAAAGCACTGAATAAAACTATTTTGTTGAAGTGGTGGGCGGGATAACCCTAATCACGCGCAGCGGCATCGAACATCGAGAGGGTGTAGAGAAATGAGGACATTGTGACTGCCTGCCGACCTTGTTGAGCATTGTGACGTCATTATGTCACGTGGTCTTCACTGTACTAGTCGTATAGTTCATTTCACCACACCTTTATAGAATTCGTGACCCACAAAATCCCGTTACGTGCGACCGCTGCTGGCAACAAGGATTTATGTATAACAACTTAACACAAGTTTACCGGAAGTTCTGATGTAATTCGAAGGCGACTTACATATATACATTTCACCAACAATTTCAATATAACTACTGTTATGATTATGCTATTGTGAATAATTATGAGACCGTTTATAAATATGATGAAAGTATGAGTCATTTTATACCCGTTGAAACACAAAACATAACAATTATAGATATATGGATGTTCGTTCGTGATATTAATAAACGGGAAACACATTTTAATTAGTACTTCCTAGTCTAAATTTGCTGGCAAGCGGGCATGCTCTATGAAGATATCTACACCGACGACCATGACAAGAAGCTATTCATATCTTAGCCGATAAATTACCATGGCAATCAGAGATTATATTGATGTACACTTCAGAATCATAATGTTACACGCACCAAACGACGTGTACAAGCGTAATACGTATTGCTTATAACCGTTGTGAAATTAAAAATGGATGCTGGAACTAGCGTTTAGATATTTTAAGCGATGGCGCTATTTCGAGCCCGTATTTCAGCATTGCGAAGTTTAAACGTGTAGCTTCGAGTTAGCAGCAACGTTGAAAATCCAAAATTCAAACAACAAAAAATACTGACGCTGATCAGCGTTGCGTTTTTTTTTGTTTTTTTTTAGATTTTTTAGATTTGCGTTGCAAAGATCGACAACTTTTCCGGGCTCACGAGCGAGCAGTTACAGACAACAATCATGTTTCTGGTGTCGTTTTCGTAGCTCTGAAAACAAGTTTTCCCGTCATGCTCCCCGTTTGAAGTCAATAGGCCCGCGGGTCGCAATGTTTTTTGTTTTTTTTTCAATTCCACCTGGTTCAATCGTACGTATGTTTAAGTGATTTTGTTTAGTTGAGTTATCGAAGTTTATAATATATCTTTTTATAAGGGCTGAAATCAAAATCCAGAAAAACTGTCCATGGTCGCGTTTTATTAAAAGCTATAACATTCAGAAACATATCACAATAAACTAGTATACTACTAATAACACGTTACCTCGCTCGGAACTTATTCCAGATGTCTAAATAATTTATATTTTAGAAAATGGTAATGCATGATGTAACAAATACAATGTGAAAAAGAAATGGTAACCTGGACGCATGGAGCCGGGAACAGCCACTGGTGGCGCTGTATGCAATCGAAACCTATTTAGGCTTGCCAATCACGCCGGCGAAAAGCGCAGACACTTGATAAATTTGTTGGCGAGTTCAGTATGATAGAAAGCGTGTAAGTCTTCCGAATAAGCACAAAAACACAGTGGGGGCCAAGACATAATAAATGTTTTCTTTCAATAATTGAATATTCATGAGATATATCTACGTCATAGGCTATATCAATTCTGGTTTCCTCATAACTCTGGATTTGTCTGAGTGTAGTGCTACAGAAGCCTTTTTTACGAACAGCGCCATCGATCATGTTTATTGGGAAATGATACACTCACACAAAACGATACCTATATTCGTTAACAGTGATGAAATTTAACTGATGATGTATGCTTATATCTAAATGTAAATTGCGTGAATTTATTGACTCCGATGGCTATCGAGAAAACCTACTTTAAAGGGGCTATGCACGGCGTGTCGTGGTTAGAGCTATGAAATGTTGAACATGTAACGCCACTAGACTATGTTGAAACAAGGACTGTCTGTAGACAAAAACTATTTGTATTTGCATCACCATTGCCCTATTCCGTTTTAATATCCTTAGACTTGATTTCCATGCCGTATTCGGCTTCCTACTTTACACTAGCTAACTGTGTATGTCTTCGGGTTTTTGCAATGTATGCGTGACACGCAAAAAGTTCATTCGAGATAAAATCCCGTAGTACAGCGAGGGGACTGGAATAGATTCTAAAATGTGCGTCTAGTTAGTAATAGTTTGACATCAGGACTCGGAACCAAAATGATTCAATCATTGTCTTTTTCGTTGTATGTGGTTGTATTGTTTGTGTGCTGCATATAATATTGATTTTTTGTTTTCATCTTTCTCGCATCATTTTCGTTGGATGTACAATCAACTTCACAAAAGCCAACTGTGCCATGTAACCATGAATTGTTTGCATTGAACATGGAAATAGAATGGATCAACGGTTATCTAAAAAAAATTACAATTACAATAGACTACTATCTTTAAAAATATGTGTCATGCATGTATCAACTCGTATGTGTTTATTTTTTGACATTACCGGGTTAAACTGAACACAGCGCCCTCAATGTAGTCGATGGTGCGAATGGAAAGATACATCAATGCAATACTATATACTAGGACAGTGAAAATAAACAAGTTTCTAGGCATAACAAAAACTAAATCTAAATCATTGCTCTAAATGTAATATAAGAATCACACTAGTCACACACACATGCGCCACTTACAGTAACCCATAACTACAAACGGCACGCAATTTGCTTTTCGAAACGGCGTATTATGATTTTGCTTCATATTTTACATATTTGCTTCATATTTTAATCTATGCTGACCATGTCAAAATTGTAAGACTATATCTTATCTTATTTTACACTGAAAATCGTGTTAATCCACAACTCGTCAGCATGGATTTATTTTTTATAAAACAATTTAGAATTTAATCTAGTTTATTTGCCTTTTGATACGATGGCAAATTCTGACTATTCCCTATTTTGTTTTTAACGTGTTTGTTCATGGTGTTTGTGATGTAAATAGGGTAAAACAAAGACCATTTCATGAATCACTAACATTATATGTTGTTTTCTAAGCTGTCATATCCATCTTTCTGAATATATAAAACATTACATACTCGAAATGTAATTTTCATCATCAATTATCTCATTTGAAGAGTGTAATTAAATCTCTTAGATGGAGAACATTTTCGTTGAAGCATTCACATTAAAAACAACAAAGATGACCAGCCATTAGAAATATAATCGACAAAATGCTGAATAGTAGAAATATGAAAAAATAATAACTAGAAAGTATTGAAGGGGTCAAACCGTCGTTGTAGTGGTAAAATACATATCCATACTAATATCTGTACCCTAATGTATTAATCTGCATTCACATGACAGCACACACTCATCAAACACATGTTTTATTCTACCTTCATTTTGATAAAAATGAGGATTGGGAAGATTTATTCAGACATCGATCCTATCTGACATCTGACAATGACAAAGAATCTCTATTGCTACTTGGCCCAGATGTCACTTTTAAGTGACCCAATCGCTAGGTTTTTGTCTGAGGGACAACCCCCTCCTTATGCTATTTGGGTTATCTCAAATGATTATGCATTGAAATGTGCCTCTGTTTCCACAGCAACGAGATTCGGATCCCAATTAGCCTCTAAACCGATTGCTACTTGTCTTCACGTACAGCCCATAACTTCGAAAATCTATCTATAACCCTTTGAGCTATAAATAAAAAAATAACTTACTGTGTTCGTGGAAGACAGTGTTATGACGAACCTCTACAAAATGTAATATACATCTTTATTGCTAATTATTAGCAAATGTCCCCCGCAAATTATTTTTCTATTGGGGTTCTACGTCAACTTACTGCTACTGTTGACGACTATTGGGACGACAAACAGAACATTGTTCAAGCACTGGAGGTAGAATAACTGTGAACAAAATATATCTCCAATCGTCGTTTGGAACAACATGTTTTGCTGGGCGAAGTTTCTGTGTATTATTCACCACTGCATTTGGCACTTTTTCCCCTCGCAGGGTTGTCCATTGTTGTTTCAATACTTTTTTGTGAGATACTAGGAGACTTGACAACTAAGTATTAAAAATATGTTGTTAAATAACAATAATTCTGATCTTCCCTAACAGATTAAGCACAACTGAATTTCAGCTCTCCCAACAACTCTCTATAAGGAAATGCGACCAAGTTCCAATCGAAACGTACCCTACTTTTATATCCACTTTCCAGCCTTATTATTCTGCAGATCTGATTCGTTAAGGCGGTGGTAGGCACTTTTGTTCTCTTTCGGCGAGTGTTTCGCAAAAAAAAAACTGCAATAAGGGTTGCCCTCCTATTGTATAATGGTCGACCCCAAAGCATGGAGTGGCGTGTGTGTTACATATGAGTATTGTGCATACCCGGAAAGGATTAATATAAATGAACGGTTAAAATATCTAGTTGAAAATTTTGTTAATGCCTGCCGTCTTTTCGACATGGCGTTTGATTTTTTCGAGAGACGTTTGAAAGTTGCCCTGTGTCGCTACGGCAGAGTTGTCGGTAACTACCCAATCCCATTTATCGTCCTCCCGCTTATGCTCACATTTTCGCTCGCCGTGGGTGGATTTTATTTCACGGGTAACAATGACATCGAATATTTATTTACACCGACAGACGGACCGGCCAAGAAGGACAGAGATTTATTGGATAGTCTTTTTCCGATGAATTACTCTGGGGAATTTCTCGCCAATCGTCAGAACGATTTCGGAAGATACGCCAGTGTTATTATTTACACGAAAAAACAGAGTGAAAACATACTCGCTGTCGACTCCCTGCGCGAAATATTCGAATTCCACGACCACGTGACAGAAACGAAGACAAGTATTGGGAGAGAAGAGTACTCATACAGACAGTTATGTGCCAAGTGGAAGACACAGTGTGTTGATCCAAACCCAGTATTAAAAATTTACAACTATACAACGCAAAATGTGAATTTTATCAACATATCGTACCCAATAATGGCGGGCCCGGGAAATATATCGTATTTTATCGGCGGCAGTCTCGGTGGTGTGCAGTTTTACGGCGATACTAGTATCGTTAAGTCGGCAAGAGCCATTTTGTTGTTCTACCCATTGAAACATTCACCGAATAACATCGATGAGGCGAGCGTAGAATTTGAGGAAGAAATCACCAAAATGGCGGCTAAAAACAAATGGACGAAAATAAAAGTGACGCTTACGGTATCACAGACGCTGGCCAACGAACTCGATGACATCATCATACGAATGATACCAAGGCTTATAATCTCCTTCTTTATTCTGACATCATTTTCTGTTCTATCTCTGATGATGACTGACTGGGTAACCAGTAAACCAGTACTTGGTACTCTCGGCGTGGTATCGGCACTGTTAGCTGTGATTTCGACTATAGGGTTGCTAAGTTACTGTGGCGTGCCCTTTATTCATCTCAACATTGCAATGCCATTTTTGACTCTAGGTGAGTTGTAATACCTGTCGTTCCCCTGTCGTCCAGACACTAATCCATAATTTCCATTGTGATAAATCTATTTATGAGTATGTATTTCTAGTGATTCAACATTTTGTTATGATAGATGGTTGGAAATAACTAAATTGTTATCATTGTTGTAAATGTACATGACACTAAGAATTGAGCACCAATGCCAATAACTAATTATATAACTACTTATATCACTATGAACAAACCATTTCCAATCTTAAGTCACTATTCCATCTCACTTTGTATTCCAAATCTGAAGTCACTATTCCGTCTGACTTGATATTCCAAATCTGAAGTCACTATTCCGTCTGACTTGATATTCCAAATCTGAAGTCACTATTCCAGAGACATTGTAACTCGCATAGCAGTCATTATTCTTGTTTTGTCAGAGAGTTTGTTGCTTAGGGAAAGTGCAATATTGTGCTTCTCAACTCAAAAGATGTAGCAGTCTCTTAACAAAAGTGTCAGGAATGGGGTCAGTTTTTCAATGAAATTATCGGAAAAACTCTAGATTCGATTCCTGAGGCTGACAGGTTGCTCAGCCGTAACAATTGTGCGTACAGTCTGCTATACCTTACAAATGCGTGGTATTAGGTTTAGGAGAGGGCACACATGTACCTGCGGGACATATAGATGTATTCGTAGTAATAATAAATAAACATTAACATCAACAACAATGTACATTCACAATAGATACATTGTTGTTATGACACATTATGTTCAAACAATATATAAGAACAATGTCAACATTTAAAAATGTAATATCAGTGTCGTAATCTCAATAACTATATTAAATAACTATATTAAATTGCGAAATTAATTCTTAAGGTATGTTCTTAATATATCAATCGCATATACAATTATTAATACTCACTGGGAAGCCTTTCTACAGTACATATTCGAATAATACCACAAGCTAAGTATTTCTAACTCAAAAAAAAGGAACACAGTTGATAGCAAAATTCAGCAATTTGGTAACTTGTAATCAGAACAAGTTAAATTAAACTGTAACAGAACAAATGTCCTTACAGTTGTTTTGTGAATTTTGTGGATTTGCGTCAGACGTTTGACAGTATTCCGCGTTCAGGGGTGTTGTGGAAAGTATGTAATTATATGGTAGATGGTAATTATTATCATCTTATTAAATCTATTTATGGAAATGTTGAATACAGTGTTAACACTGTTAGGGACGGACCATTCGAAATCCTGGGGGCAGGAAGATTGTGTGAAAAAAAAATTCTATGATAATGCTTGAAGAAATTCCTACACTATATGCATGTAAAAATTAGAAAAAAAAAATTCCATATTAGATAGGGGAAAAAAGTAGGCTTCATTTTAATCTTCCTGGCCCCCAGGATATAAAATGGTCCGCCCCTTAGTATTAGATTGACGAGATTACATCAGCAGAGTGTAAGGTGGGTACTTGCATGTTTACATGCTTTATGCGTTGCGTACATACATTTTAATTTGACATAGTTATTTAGGCACATGCGCGTGAGGTTGTCAAAAACATCACTGTTTTATAGCGAATTTAAAGCAGCGTGAGGGTTAGGGCTCTTGGCGTGGGGATTTCAGTGTTATGATGTGTTGTTTAATTTGCTGGTGATTCAGGGTGGATGAGCTGTGTTACTATAGGCAAAATTTCATAGAGACCTCCAAATCTTATAGTTAAGCTTGTTTGGCCCACACTGGTATAACACTTACATATGAGAGCATCATGGGGGTGCTCAGGGGGTCTCAGGACTTTTATGTGATACACTTACGGCGGAAATTACCGTAGCTCGCCGAAGCCGTAACTAATTTGTTTGTTTGTTGTGACGACTTTTTTTTTAAAGAGAAGCCCCAGTTTAATCAGGGAGCATTATTGTCAACTACTGAGTTGATGGTTCTGTTTGTAATGTACGTTCATATGAACGTGACCCCGAACAACAGAAACTACGGCTTATTGCTCAGTGTATATCAGACCACAGTCCCTCTATCAGATATGATAGAGGGACTGTGATCAGACCGATGTTTTCCGAATGGAAAACGACCGCATTTGTGCCGCTTGGATTTTGCTCGTTCGTTTAGTTAAAAACGCCGCGCGCTCGCTCGCTCATACACCGATCAGTGTTACGTGAGTTGTCAAACCATCGTCTGATTGTATTTCTGAAAGTAGGGAATAATTTATTACGCTGCGGAAAATACAAAGTTACACTGATAAAACAGACGAAATTCATTTGCTATCGTGAATATTTTGTTGTTATTCGTAATAATGCGCTGAAGACCTTCATTACTGGAATTTACGAAACGTCGTTCTCAACTAGTCAGAGATTTCTTAGTGAGTCCAATCTAACATGGCAAAAATTACAAAACAAATTCGTGTGTCGAGAGTTGGAGGTATCTTTTGATGAGCCACCTGCTGCCGGAAATAGTACTTGTGCGAACTTCCAAAAAATGGGACACAATCCAATCCAATCTTGCCGACTGACTTTTTAAATATAGCCAAAAAACAACTTATAGTTCGACAATTAGATATAGTGACACCGTTTGTAGTTCGTATTAAGTAAGCCAAAATAAAGTGTCTAGACATATTACCCGGGGACATAACACACAAAAGTCAGAAACAATGCAACAGGGTGTTATTTTATTGAACTCTTTTCGCTTTAGAAGTCAAACAATGATCGATCAGCCGGGTAGTTGTAAGAACTGCGGTGATTGGCAGATGGCTTGACGCCTTGGAAAAGTCCAAAAGTGGCCGGTAATTCCCGTTAACGTATTGTAAGAGTACGATAGCTACCAGTTAATAACTACGACGGAATCGAAGGTGGTTCGTAGCTAGGTGTTTATCTGTGATGAATCTGTCAATATTCGGGAGTTAAACTATAGATAGGACGCTTGTACAATATATCCCTACCATAGACATTGTGTTTTTTTTTTTATTGTGAAAGTTTAAACAAACTTTTATCTGATTTGAACTTGGTGCTTTTTAAATATCATTCATGATCAGTTGTCTGTTTAAATCAAACATGGGCAACATCCGAAGATAAAATGTTGACTTTTCTTGTAGGATGAAATATATTTCGCTAATATATTGCTGTGAAGATGTTACTATTATTTGGCGAGTTTTGAGTTTGAACTGATTTTTCGTCTTTATATGTTTGTATACGTGCCTGTAATTTCGATTTTAAACGAGTACTCAAACATACCACAAATACTGAATTGCTTGTGGTCGACGAAGTGTTTTGTGAATTTAACAAAGACGTGCTGCCTATTCCCCTGAGGTTAAAAACCCATACAATTGTTAAATTACAAAGTATATCCGATTACATAATTATCTCCCTGGGTTTCGTTCCTCACGTTGAGAATGTGTCTACAATATCAATGGATATCTCAGATCATCTGCTTTAATATGCAAACAGGACATAGCGCCAACAATAAAAAATACAGATCCATACATCTCGTGGTCTCCCTGGTCAAAAGATGAATAGAACCAAACCTATGTTGATGTTATACAGTCCAACATACGGTAAAAGTAGATCTTGCTTAGTTTGTAGATTGGAATAAAGTTGGTCAAGCTTTTCTCAGACTAGTAATACTTGCATTACTAGTCTGAGAGCTGTTGGAGGCATAGATTCGATATTCAGTTGAATAGCATTGCCATGAAATGTCGGCAGCGACGGTGGTGGACATGATTCAATGTGACTAGGCGCAAAAAAAAAGAAAATTAACACTTCTTTGCTGGAACAGGAAACGATACATCCAACATGGAGTAAAAGCCAGATTACTTGAATGAAACCCAATTCTTTTCTATCAAACACTCAATTAAGAGTTGTTCGATACAAACTTGTAATGAGGTAGTGGTGTCATCAGCGACACTTTGGATCTAATCTAATTTTGAATAATGTCTTCAGCCAGGAAAGTGATTATCCAACGTTCCTCTGATTAAATACGAAATGGCAATATCAATACATCGATCTTCATCGTATGACGCGGAGATTGGACGAGACATGCACAAAACAATTCCAGAAAAATGGACGAATTTGTAAATAAAGTATTGAAAAAAAATATAACCTGTGTTGAAGACGAACATCATTTCATTTGCAATTAGATCAACACAATGGACATAATTATATCCTCTGAAATGTGTCTACATGCTGTTTTTTGTCTTAACAAGGAAATTGCCATTCTTATTGAAATATGTTTCGTTTTCTATTTGTAGGAGTCGGAGTGGATGATATGTTTATAATGATAGCATCATGGCGGACAACGTCACCCCGTACCAGCGTACCTGATCGAATGGCGGAGACCTTCTCAGAAGCAGCGCTCTCTATAACGATAACAAGCATTACTGATGTATTGGCGTTCGGCATCGGAGCTATTTCAACCTTTCCTTCTGTTCAAATATTCTGTTGTTATTGTGGGGTTGCCATTCTATTTGACTATATTTACCAAATTACTTTCTTTGGGGGTTGCATGGCTTTGATTGGACGGCGGGAACGACAAAATAAACACTGCCTTACGTACGTAAAAGTGTTACCTAAAAGGGAGTCTACGTCGCGATGTTACCGGTTATTCTGCGCCGGCGGTATTAGTTACAGTACAGATTGTGATGACGTGATTCAGGATCACTCAATTATGACTTTTTTCAACAAATATTACGGCCCGTTTGTCACTTTGACGTGGGTGAAGGTGATTACGGTGATTTTATATGTTGCATATGTAAGTGTTGCTATTTGGGGAAGTTTCTATGCGAGTGAGGGGATACAGCTAAGCCAACTCGCTCGTGAAGACTCTTCTGACCCTAATGGCCTGACATATTATGAACTTGAAGAGAGTTATTTTAACGAATATGGACCAGTTATACAGGTCATTGTCACCACACCTCAAAATTATTCTAACATGTCTACTGAACATGAAATCGAACGTGTCCTCGCTATGTACAGAACAAATAGGTATTTCTACGATACGGAATATTCCACGCAGTCATGGCTCAGAGATTACGTAGAGTTTCTCAACAAAAGTGGACTGACTTACCCGGACGAGGACACTTTTGTTTCTCACTTAAGGAGTTATTTTCTGACCAATCCGTTATACGAACATTACAAACCAGACATTGCCATCACCAACAACACCATCACGTCCTCACGATTTTCCGTGCAATCTCGATACGTTAAAAATGTTAAATCGGCCCAGAATTTTTTGCATCAATCCAGAAAAACAGCCGAGGATTCAAGCCTCCCTATGATTGCGTATCATCCGTCGTTTGTATTCAACGACCACGTTGACGTTATTCTACCCAACACCATACAAAATATTGCGATAGCCGCTAGCGCTATGTTAGTTGTTTCGTTTCTTCTTATTCCTCAACCGATTTGTGCGTTTTACGTCACGCTCACTGTCGCGTCCATAGTTGTTGGCGTCATAGGTTATATGTCATTATGGAGTGTTGGTATAGACTTCGTGTCCATGGTAACAATCGTAGTCTGTATTGGTTTCAGCGTTGATTACTCGGCTCATATGACGTATGCGTTCGTCATTTCCAATCGGGATACTCGCAACGGCCGTACTATCTACGGTCTGTATTTACTTGGTTTACCAGTTGTACAAAGTGTGGCTTCCACCATCATCGCCATAGCTCCCTTGTCAACTGCCAACACTTACGTTTTCAGAGCAGTCTTCAAGACGGTATTTTTGGGTATTTTCTTTGGTGGTCTTCATGGTATTTTATTTCTACCTGTTCTTTTATCGCTCGTCGGTCCCAATAAATCACAATCATCGAAACCCAAAGCGGACGAGGAGGGTGCTCTTGGGAAACGAAGGTTACGTATGTGGATGAAAGACCACAGAAAGGAACCACCAGAAAAACGATGTCAAATTAAAATTACACCCCGCAAAGTTAACTTTGTGAATGACAATATCGATAAGTTTCAATTTGATGGTCAGATTGTTTTGGGGGAAAATAACAACCCAGGCTTCAGCAATGTTTGTTGTTCGCGTAGCGATGAATATGGTTATTCGTCTCCAATCATCCCACCCAAGACTCGAGACTGTGAAGAAATCGGAGCAAAGACCGTTGTTGTGGCTGACAGATTCGGGTCGCGCGCTAACTCCGGCAATGGCTGTGTTATTCCATACCAAAAGCATGACTTGGCACCCAATATTGTTGCGATTGATAAAGGTTATGTACTGTACATCTCAAATACATACATACAGAAGTAAATAAAGTCACATTGAAGTCTGGTTCATGGATATCTAGCCTGTAAATGACGTTAGTTTGAAAAGTTGATTTTTTAAATATAATTAGGCAGAAGCAGGTACACATCACGTCTGTTTTGTAGTTTCATATTCAGACAATAAATGAAAATCATCATTTGTTGCCATGGAAATCCATAAATTACATACTCAGACCCCATATATGGAAATTACATTTTGACAAACGTTTATGAATTCCAAGTTCAGAGCAATTCCTTTTTTTTTATTATTGCCGATTATCTTCCATTTATAACAAAACAAGTAGTTACATTTCATATTGTAGAACACACAAAGATAATCATCGCGAACCTGTTTTGTTGTTTTCTGTGGTTAATTAACTATTTTTTTTTTTTTATTTCATTTTAATGTGTTTTGGTTTCCCAAAGTGTGTGACGTGTTCGATGTCTTACAGTTTATGTAATTGGAATTATCAAACTAGCCTCTGATATTATTATAATGCGCTTACATGATTTGAAATACATATATGTTTACAATTAATTTTCACTTGTTTAGTAATTGATGAAATGCAAAACTTATGTACTAGTAAAGTCATGGTCATCTGAATACAAATAAAATATTATATATGAAACACATTGTTTGTCGTTTTCGTGTCAAGCTTAGATTACGCATGTGGGTGTATGGAGCGAAAATGAACAGAATTGTATTTTTGATCCACTTTCTCGACTAAAATGTGTATTCTATAAAAAGCTGTCCCTACGACCTTACAATTCTAGAACGGCGATTGTTATTTTAGACAGTCCTGATACAAAATGCACCATCGGTGAAAACGTAACGTAAACGTGTAGAGAACGCGAATTAAGTCGCCGTGACTCGGTTTTATCTTTAAAAAAACTGCGGACAACGTAATGGTATTACTAAGCAGAGCTACCCATTAACTCACGGATAACGATTTCACGGATAACGATTTCAGGCCACCATATGTGTGTATCTCACCGGACTGAGTAGAAAAGGACATGGTGCCTAATAATCGTGCATGATAAATCGCGATGCCAGTGACTGACCAAGTATTGCGCCGTAGAATTATCGTCGATATATTATTTTTTTTGTATGTTCTTTCCAGCGCTTCATTCACCTGCGTTCATACCATGGCACGACATTTATACATGTTGTGGAAAATACTGGTATATTTGATACTATGGTACGCCCCCTCCCTTGACACATGTTTATTTTTAGATAGGGTGTATAGCCAACTGTCCACTCCTGTGACCTAGTCTAGTTGCACGGTGATTGTGAAATACTTTAGAATACACCAGTCATCGCTTTGTACCCACGGAATTGAATGTGAGATCATTGACCTACTGCCTTTTTTTCTAATTTACATATCTCGGATAAAAAGTAGATTATACCAGTACTAAAACTGGCATTCCGTATACTCCGATTTGTCTGATATTTCGAGATAACCAATCATTTAGTTAGACACCCTAATCCAGTTGTAACGGTTATCATTGCGTTATAATCATTGATCTAGGAGCCGACCTGACCGGGTCCTGTGTAATATCTTGAATGTTGATTTCTCACGTCACTGAGTTGTTCTATGCGTGCAGAGTTTCTCAGCAGGAGAATAGCAGTGCCGTCACGTGCTGACACACGCTGTACACATGCATGACTTAAAATTGTTGTGCGGTTGTTTCATCTGTGTGGCAGAAAGGCAGGAGGGCGCCGATCTACGAAGTTGTCCACCGGAGAGTGATGATTTTTTTTTTTTTTTTGAACATCGATCGATTTTTTTTTGATTGCATTTATTTCCCTATATGTACACCATTCATGTCTCCTCTAAGTGACTAGCGCCCCCTATTGTCCGTAAATTAAATAAGATAATCCTTATCGTTTTTATTGCTAGGTCCATTTCCTTCCTTGCACGGTAATATGCAGCGGAAAAGAAGTCAAACGTATATTAATAGACCTGTACATAAGATAATTTCTCAGCTCGTCCCATGTTTACGTCACAATACACCTTGACCTTCGATAACAACCGACGTATGATTATTGGATAATTACTGGCCGGTGAGCATTATTGAGTCTACCGTGGAGTACTAGTATACAAATACAGATTCAATGAATTTACATTTACGCAGAACATTCATAGAGCAATTATCAGGTGTGCTGATTGTATAGAAGTACCATTTCAGTGTGAAATCGATACAACGTTAAACTAGCGCCGAGAACAGTGGCTAGTGGCGTGGTATCAAGTCGGTCAGTAACTTGCAGACGCTCCCTCGAGCGCGAGAATGTGGGGAGGAGCAAAATTAATTGCTTCAATGTAAAATAACCTTGTACCGCATTTTCTGCGTGGCTTTAAACATTTCTAACTAATGGGCAAATAGACCTACAAAACCCACTAAAAATACACTGAGAAAAGTATTATTCATTATGATTTCCGTGTAATTTTCCTACAGTATATTTAACTGTTAAATCTGAAACAGAGATTTGTACGAGGCTTAATTGTTATTGCAAACTCAGACCTCTTTAGTGGTCTGAGTTGAAAATCACACACGGTATATGTTGTTTTCGTAAGAATTTTTTTTCAGCTAATAAATGTACAACTTTCTGAAAAGTAATAAATAACTTTCTTTTACTAAGTATCTTTAAACATAAACCGTATATATGTATGTTAATTAAAGGGCAGTGATCTTCGCGCAGCGCTTGTGCGAAATATATGGGTCTCATATAAATAAAGATGGCGTCTTTGACTTTTGCACAGATCAACGAGTACAAACTGGGACGTTACCAGGCTTTAATTTAATTTTATTATATTTTTGTAGGTGATTTGAAGGTATCGAAGAAGTCACCGGCGGTTATTAGTGCAAGTCGCGGCCAGGTCAAACCTTATACTTGTGATTTTCATTAGAAGAGCGTATTGGATTGTGGGAAAATCAATGTCTCTCAACACAAATGTCGCACATGCGCAGTGCGACGACCACACCCTTTAAAATGCCAGGCTCATTTACATACACAACGACATTTGTATACATAATAACCCCTAACAGTAACTACCCAGCACCCCAATTTAATTGTATATCCCAGTCTTGTTAACTTTTAAAAACAAAAACAAAAACAAAAGAAATATACTATACACTATCTATGTCCCCCTGGTCCACCCAAACGAAATTTGTTTGAGATATTACATTCATACTGCCCTGCAGAATCCACCTGCTGTTATACACCAAGTCGGGTCCAGCTTCAACCACTGCATACAAACCACAATCAGTTGGCGTACAATTAATTTACCGATTTTTAATATATGGGGAAGCCATCTTGAATACGGCTTGAAACTAAACGGAGACAAGCTCAGAAACGTGTTTTTTTCAGATTTCTACAAATCAATGTGAGCAAATACCAAGCTTTCATAGCCAGGCGATCCATTGGGGTAACATGAAGCTAACCCCTAACCAAATTCGGCCGAATTTTTCATTTTTGTTTGGGAAGATTCACTTGCATACGACCACCTCATTGCAGGAAGAAGCTAGAACACTTCACTGTCTTATAGTTCATAGAATACGTCTTTCGATGTAACAATGGAATTCATCTCAATTACGCATGCGCACTGGTTGTTTTGACACGTACATTGTTGTTACACACTTACCACAGTCCCTCTTCAGGGCTCATACCACTAATTGAATTTCTATAGACGACAATGTTAACATATGAAGAGATTGCTATATGAAAATGATGAAGAAAGTTGAAAACATGACTCAAAAATGGGAAATCAACATGCCAGTAATCAACTATAAGAAAAAAAAACTAACATGTTTGGAGCACCTGAGAAAACAAATACTTTTAAAATGTCATTGGTTCTTGCAAGGCATTTAAAACAGGCAGCCATTGGTTGATTAGTTGCATGATACCTTGAGTGACTGTGCACGTACGTATAACAATCTGCGCTGTGCTTATGGTTTTGATTTTTCATCTAACCAATGTTGTTGCGTTTCCCGTTCATGCAACCTTTTAAGTTTATAATGATAAATCAGACGGTTTGGTCTACAGTAATAGTATCGAACAACATGTTTGCGACTATAATTTGATAGAATACACACTTGGAATCACACTTGGGTCCTCTGGCAATTTCACCGTATGTGCCTTATTTATGTTAATGACAGTGAAAATGTCAGTTTCATTTCAATGTAATTTTAATTTCAATATGTTAAAGAATGCCTATAACTCCTCATAAGTGATTAAAATAATTACATAACAATGTAAACATGCACTCACAAACAAACCGCACCACAATATACGAATAATAATTACCAAAAAAAAAAAAAAAACAATTATAAAATACAGATTCAAGATATAACACTGTAATAAGAAAAAGGAAAATTAAAATTTTAAAAAAAAAGTTAATTTTGGAAGAGTTGTCACACTCTCTTCTAGCAAGAACTTCCACTGTAAGCTATAAAGCGAACATGACATTATGAAGTGTTCATCTTCCCCCACTTCATTTTTCGGACACACCTCATATATATTTTTTTCCTTTGGGGCTTTTGGTCTGGTATGTATTCCTTTTTCAATTTGTAATTGGTTACTGAGTCGAAATATACTGAGACATTCCCGAAGTTCTACATTCGATAACGTATGTTCTTAGCTTATGTTTATCTTTCTGGTTATTAATTTTATTTTTGTCGTTGAAAATTTCTTTTTTCAAATGCAAATTGAATACTTTTTTTAATTCATTACCTATTATTCATACATCAGATTTTGAAATTGTACTCTTTTGGTCAATAATTTGTGGTAAATTTATTTTTTTCAAATGAGATTGTAGTGTGATATACCATTTTGTATTGATTTGTTATTGATTTTTTAAATTTAATTTGACACATTTATGGTCCGATTATAATATTTAGCTATTTTTTTAAATAAAAACATTAAGTCGGAATCTGCCTAGTTCGCCACATATACCCATTTTAGGTGTATTTTTTTCGTATTTGTTTTGATAAATTAAGCAAGTGTAATGTTCTCGTTATTAATATTTTTGCTACTTGCTGAAAATATGAACTTGTCATTCTGTTGTCAAGCAGATTTTATATAGTGTTTTTTATCATTGTAAGAATGACATGTTATTTGTCTTCTATTATTTGTTTGTCAGTACAAAGGATACGAATTATTTTTTCCATTGTTGTTCTGGCCTTGAGTGCCGTCTTTTAGTTCTTCTGAATTTCAGCGGTTAGGTTCCAGTCGAAGCTTCGTCTTATTTGTTTTTTACCTGTCCTTGCAAGCATATTTATGACCTCACCGATCCAGATCTGATAGGTAAAAAAAGGCGGTAGATATTTGATTCTAGCTAGGGATGAGTGTTGCGCACATAACCTTGAATAGTCTACCCTCCGGTTATATAAACGACATGTCGTCATGGGCGTCATCGCGGTTACAATGGGTGTTACGCAAAGCTAAACAAGTGTAATGAATCATTGAACTTTCTTTTTAGATCCATGAATGAATGGACCTCTATTGAAGGACTCGTTTAACGCCTGCCGTCTTTTCGACATGGCGTTTTATTTTTTCGAGAGACGTTTGAAAGTTGCCCTGTGTAGCTACGGCAGAGTTGTCGGTAACTACCCAATCCCATTTATCGTTCTCCCGCTTATGCTCACATTTTCGCTCGCCGTGGGTGGATTTTATTTCACGGGTAACAATGACATCGAATATTTATTTACACCGACGAACGGACCGGCCAAGAAGGACAGAGATGTAATGGATAGTCTTTTTCCGATGAATTACTCTGGGGAATTTCTCGCCAATCGTCAGAACGATTTCGGAAGATACGCCAGTGTTATTATTTACACGAAAAAACAGAGTGAAAACATACTCGCTGTCGACTCCCTGCGCGAAATATTCGAATTCCACGACAACGTGACAGAAACGAAGGCAAGTATTGGAAGAGAAGAGTACTCATACAGACAGTTATGTGCCAAGTGGAAGAAACAGTGTGTTGATCCAAACCCAGTATTAAAAATTTACAACTATACAACGCAAAATGTGAATTTTATCAACATATCGTATCCAGTAATGGCGGGAAATATATCATATTTTATCGGCGGCAGTCTCGGTGGTGTGCAGTTTTACGGCGATACCAGTATTGTTAAGTCGGCAAGAGCCATTTTGTTGTTTTACCCATTGAAACAATCACCGAATAACATTGATGAGGCGACCTTAGAATTTGAAAACAAAGTCACCAAAATGGCGGCTAAATACAAATCGACGAAAATAACAGTGACGCTGACGGTGTCACAGACGCTAGCCAACGAACTCGATGACATCATCATACGAATGATACCAAGGCTTATAATCTCCTTCTTTATTCTGACGTCATTTTCCGTTCTATCTCTGATGATGACTGACTGGGTAACCAGTAAACCAGTACTTGGTACTCTCGGCGTGGCATCGGCACTGTTAGCTGTGATTTCGACTATAGGGTTGCTAAGTTACTGTGGCGTGCCCTTTATTCATCTCAACATTGCAATGCCATTTTTGACTCTAGGTGAGTTTATTACAAACAATCGTATTTCCGTGTTCCCGTGTACCGGTGTCAACATACTTATAAAATAGTTGTCACTATCAAATGCTGAATTTTTCGTGTATTTTATACAATTCATCGACGGGAGTAAGTTTTACAGGTTACATATAATACTAGTATGTTGATGCGAAAAAGTGTCATTCTATTTTCAACGATCAAAATAAAGTGTGTTTTTTTTTTATTTTACAATTTCTGTACTTTTTGTGTATTTGCAACATTCTACTTTCCACTATTATAATTACATGCAAGAGTAATATGAACATTGGAAATTTGAACCAATTTGCATCAAAATTTTTATTGTTATAGATGAAATAATTTTCTCGATTTTTCATAGCAGTGGCTATGATGCCACACTTTACCCATAATCCTTTGCTGGAGAATCAACATGGTGGACTACATAAGTAAAGTTAAATATCTAGAGAATGAATAGTGATGTAAAAGAACTGTAAATTGCATTATTCTACATTTGTGGAGCTCGAATTTTGTTTGCCCAGACTACCTGAAAGGAAATGGAACAAGGAAATTCTACAACTGCCATTTTTTTTACCCTACTTTGAGAACTAATTTCTACTTTTATAAAATATATGTGTCTGCTATCCAGCTACTGTCATGATATAGCTTTCATCAAAACGTACTGAGCTATATAGCTAACAGGAAACTATAGTTTACAAAGAAAGTAAACAACATAACAATTTGGTATACTCGTTTTAAAGCGGAGGAGTCGTCACCTGCGCATGCGTCAGATGACCATAGCGTGTCATTGTTTACAACAAGCATCTACCCATGAGCCATTGTGTTTTTAGCGTGTGTTGTTATCGTCGCTTGGGACTCAATTCCCGCGCGTGCGCAGGTGACGACCCTCCCGTCTTAAGTACTGTATCTGTAAAATATTATAAGTTACAAAATCCTATCAACAACAGCTCTCTTATCAAATATATCAGCGCAAAAAACCTTATTTCAACTATGCACTCACTATTTCAACTGATATAACATTTTAATTAACTGAGCTAATACCCGGACTGTCCTCAGGCTGACATTCTAACTAGAGACTGATAAACATACGGTGGATGACTGATGTAGTGCTCTGTAATGTGTGTTTGTGTTTTTTTTTGTCCTAGCCGGGAATTCCGGAATTTCAGTGAAATATGTTTCGTTTTCTATTTGTAGGTGTCGGAGTGGATGATATGTTCATAATGATAGCATCATGGCGGACAACGTCACCCCGTACCAGCGTACCTGATCGAATGGCGGAGACCTTTTCGGAAGCAGCGCTCTCTATAACAATAACAAGCATTACTGACGTATTGGCGTTCGGCATCGGAGCTATTTCAACCTTTCCTTCTGTTCAAATATTCTGTTGTTATTGTGGGGTTGCCATTCTATTTGACTATATTTACCAAATTACTTTCTTTGGAGGGTGCATGGCTTTGATTGGACGCCGTGAACGACAAAATAAACACTGCCTTACGTACGTAAAAGTGTTACCAAAAAAGGAGTCTTCCTCGCGATGTTACCGGTTATTCTGCGCTGGTGGTATCAGTAACAGTACAGATTGTGATGACGTGATTCAAGAACACTCAGTTATGACTTTTTTCAACAAATATTACGGCCCGTTTGTCACTTTGACGTGGGTAAAGGTGATTACGGTGATATTATACGTCGCATATATAGTTGTGGCTATTTTGGGAATTTTCCAGGTGATTGAAGGGATACAGCTAAGCCAACTCGCTCGTGAAGACTCTTCTGACCCTTACGGCCTGACATATTATGAACTTGAAGAGAGTTATTTTAACGAATATGGACCAGTTATACAGGTCATTGTCACCACACCTCAAAATTATTCTAACATGGCTACTAAAC